TAGGGTGGGCGGATCGGTCGAGGGGTCGAGGGGTCGAGGGGTCGAGGGGCTCACGGGAATCAGTGGAATGGGTCGGTGGGTGAGTAGGTGAGTTAGCAGGTGGGGGTATTTGATTTGAATTGTTTTGTTTTATATAGCAAATAAACAGTAAAATGTACATGACGTATGGGGAAAAGTATAATCTGCTCACGGTTTTTTGGGCTCTAGAATCCCAACTATTAATAGTGATGATAAAAGATGAATAAACGTTTTAAAAAATGTTTGATGAAAAATTAGTTTATGGGTGATATGGAAACGAGGTATGTAAGTAGGTAATGTGTAGGCGAGAAGGTGGATAGGTGAGTGGGTGGAAATGTGGAAAGGTAGGATACGAGATGTGTGGCTAGAATTAGAGTGGGTGGGTAGTTAGGGAAGTAGTTTGATTGGTATGAAGGTGACAAAGTGGATGAGTGGGTATGTAGGTGGAAGGTGGATATATTAGTAGGTGGAAATGTGGATAGGTAGGAGAGGATATGCGTGGCTGGGAAGGTAGGAGAGTTGTCGTGCGTGCGTGCTGGCTGGTTGGTTGTGGGTGGGGTGGATGGGCTATGGAGCGAGCGGAGATTATGACGAGATCGGACACGACGGCGCGGGCTGCCGGAGTGGTGGGGCGGGCAGTGGGGCGGTCGGTCGTTAGGGCGGGTGGACGGCCGCTTTAACAGGGGGTGGGAGGGGGAGGGGGAGGGGTGTGTCGCGGGACGTCTGGTCGACCGTTCTTCGAAAGGAAGCCCAAGTTACGAAACCACTTGACTTACTGCGGAGTCAGGGTCGCCCTGCGACCTCGTGACTCGCAGCCGCAGGGGAGGGCAACATCAGAGGGGAGAATGTGGATAGAGCACATAGTTCAGTAGAGGAACTAGAGAAATGAGGCAGATCTGGGAGAAGAATTGGGAAAACATTGAAATGCAACGCTAATAAATGATAAATGCGATCGATACACATTAGGTGACATTTTAAAAACTACATAAATATGTATTTAATCCGACGACCCCTTTCTATTTGGTTTTGACAAGTTTCTTGTGAAACGATTAAGTGATGAGACGGTCGGTGAATCGTTTTTCGTTAATAATTGATTTTGTATTCTATAACATTACATAATGATCATACTTTATAACGTTTTGTGAAGTCTTGCGTGTGGGTTTCCCTACGCAATTTTCAATGTTTCTGACTGCGATTTCCTCCTAACTTCGCTTCTGTCGCACGCGGGGAACCTCTCCACGGAATGGGGCGAATCGGCCGCCAGACGGCTGATGCGTCACTAAATGTTTAATTTTATATATTACTGCTACCTGGAATAACCGTACAAAAGTTTGAGAGTGTAGACAACATTCATAAAATATTAGTAAAGTTATTATTATTATTATTATTATTATTATTATTATTATTATTATTATTATTATTATTATTATTATTATTATTCTCATACCAACTATACTTTAGCAGTTTCAGAGAAACTCCTAATTAAAAAAAATTGCATTGTTTCAGGTTAAAAAATTGCAGGCTTCAAACCTTAACAAAATTCTTTCTTTATGGAACTCCACGATATTCAGAATTATTTTATATATTTCAAATATAGATAATATTTGTTTCGCAATTGACTAATGGTGAAATAATAATTCCATATTCATAACGCCACATGTAATACGTAGTGACATTTCACCTTGACTGAACGCAGAGCCGTAGAGCGACTATGTGACTTTCAAATGAATCGATTTCATTGCAACGCTTCAATGAGTGTTCCAATTATTTCAAAATAAGTTTATATCCCTCTGCGGAAAGCCAAGTTTCATTTATAGGTTTCGAGGGCCAGTTGATTCCAATCATTTCGTTAGCACATCACGTACAGCTCTTGTCAAAAGTTCAAGAACAAACATTTTTATTTGAGGTCGGTGTTTTCTGGAGGGCATTTCAATCGCATGAAGCAAGTCAATATTAACTGATTGAATACAGTGTTAATACTTTTAAAAAATAGTAATAGAATAAAATAATTTAATTACATATTTAATAAGTATCAAAGACAACAATTGTAAAAAGGCATCTCTTCTCATTCTTGCTATATTTATTATCCCCAATTTGTATTTATTTGGTCTTTACTTTTTAATCGTGCACGATCTTATGTAAATGGATATGAATTTTTTTCAATCCACGAATTTTATTGAAGTTTATTTAGAACACGATGAAGCACGGAAACGAAGTATAATCTATTAAAATATCCACAAAGATAGACAAAGATGTAACATGAAATTATCAACTGGGAAGAATAAATTATCTAGCCAAAGAAAGTGAGCAATATGATGAGATGGGAGAAGAGAATTCGAATGCAAAAGAAATATAATTGAGGCGGTTTATGGGAAAGGGGCATATGGATCTATTTCACAACACTTCAGTTCAGAAATACTAATGACATACTAAATACATAAATTACCAGGACGTCATGGTACAAAGTGTATTCTTGAGAGTATGCAACACACAATCGATGTGAATCCCTAGTGAGATTAATCAAGAATGAAAATTTCGAAAGCGGTTTTCTGAAAACAGCTCTTTAACATACGTGCCTATATCAATATTATTGATCTCATTACAACTCGCACAATTCCGTGTTTGTAAATTTGCAAAAAATACTAGAGAATCAACAACACTGAAAACGTACAATAACATCAGGTACATCCTACATAAACGCTCTACCTCTTTGTGTCCTACTACAACTGCATTTAAACTAGACACACGTACTTCGGATTGTCAGTCTCACACTTTACAGGCAATGGGTGATAAAGCTGTAAAGCCGGTCAATCGACCACCCCTCAAGATGAGAATACGGACACTATTAGGAACTCCGGCAGTATCTTTGACGTTCTAGATTTAGTTCCAGCGGTGGCAGATTTTTGACACTCCCCAGGTAGCTAGATTGCATTCATCCAATATGTGGAGGACAATTATAGTGGCTGGCTATATTTATAAAATATTTTTCTATCTATATATCTATCTAAACTAAATGTGTCCTAGAGGGGATACAAATTATGTTTGTTGGGTGGAAATCTATAAATGTCCTATTTGGACATTTCTATTTCATTTTTTGATACTGATTTTCGAATACGTTCCAAGTAAGTGAGTTTCCGTATGAAATTGTCTTTACTTTCAAAATAATCATTATTTACAAAGTACGAAATGTTTAATGTGGCCACCTCATACAGTTTTCTAATGTACTGAAATGACTGAAAAAATGTGCCCAACCACGACAGGTGCGCATAAACTTTTGGGGGAAACTGTATTTTTAATCGCAGCCCCTGTGACACGACCACCGCCGCCGCCGCCGCCGCCGCCGCCGCCGCCGCCGCCATCCGCTTGCAATTACTGATCTGACCCATATTACGCTAGAGTGCGCAGATCCGGCCGCATAAAGAAGCTCTAAATTTATCGCCGCCGGTCACACGTCGGTTTCACGATC